ACACCATGACCACTCCCTCTCCTTGGTCTTTAAAAATGGCTGACATTAATTTAGTGATCAAATGTAACACCCTTATGGAAATATGATCATATTTTGTAATTATCATTTAAATCTGACGAATTGACAAATTGTTTGTCATAAATCAACATCTCTGCATGGAAAATGTTATGGGGTTTCAAATCAAAATATGAGCTTCTGTTATGAAACAGGGCATCAGTTTCATACATGTCCACGGAATCATCTTTATATAAAGTTAGGTATAAAAAAATTAAATTTGATTTCTGATTAAAACAAAAATCCCACTCTTTTTGCCTTTTCATGTCTATTCATGTCTTTTTATTCTACAGAGGACATGGCATAACATTTGAATCAAATATCATTTTTCAAAAATTGTATTTTTCAAAATTTTTCTTATGCTCTAAACAATGTAATGACATGACTAAATACTAAATTCACAAAACAGTTTTTTCCTGGTAGTCAGGCGGATATAAACGTACAATTGTTTTCTTAAATATATACATGCATGGGTGTGTATTTATATATACATAATAAATATACACAGTACACACACATATACTATGTGAACAAAAACTTTTATTTTGGATGCGATTAATCGTGATTAAATTGACAGCACTAAAATAAATAAATAAATATCGGATATGTTTCTACAGTAGTGGGCAAAACTGATTTCCCGGAGATATACAATTGATGAACAAATAGCCTGTGTTCATTTTAAATTGTTTTATTGTAAATATAGCCTACACTGCCAGCCATAAGTTTGAAACGATTAAGATTTTTATGTTTTGAAAGAAGTCTCTTATGCTCACCAAGGCTGCATTTATTTGATAAAAATACAGTAGGCCTAATATTGTGTCATCTCATTGCAATTTACAATAATTGTTTTCTATATGAATATGTTCTAAGTAACATATACTCCTGTGATGCAAAGCTGAATTTTCCAAGTATGTATCGCTGCAGCCCGGAGACCCCCAAATGGGAGGGACTTATGCCGCGAGCATGCGCACATCAATATAGCGTAATTTTTCTCACACTGTACAACAATTACTATTTTTGCATTATTGTAAGGGGTAGGTTTAGGGTTGGGTTAGGTGTAGACGTTCATAAAACAAAAGCTGTAACTCTGTGTCATGTACAACACATTAAATAAATCAATCAAAAGCCCCAGGAGGAATGTACAGCCTACTTGGAGCTCAAGTCCCCCCATTTGGAGCTGGCTCCGACCTCCGTTTATACCTAACACGAATTTTCAGCATCATTACTCCTGTCTTCAGTGTCACATGATCTCTTACCAGCGCTTCGATCGTCTGATGCGGTTACATGATTCATACACTAGAGAGCGCACTAGATGCAATGAGATTGCCCCTTGTGGGGTTAATAAAGTAGTAAACTAGATGTTCTCATCATCCCACCTCATCATGTTTTCATCATCCCAAACCTCCTCCTGCCCAAACTAACTCAGCTCTCCGTGCACACCTCCGTCTGTCAGTGGATCAACAGCTTCCTGACAGACAGGCAGCAGCTAGTGAGGCTGGGAAAATACACATCCAGCACCCGCACCATCAGCACTGGAGCTCCTCAGGGCTAGATTCCATCAAAAATATCTTAATTTGTGTTCCGAAGATGAACGAAGGTCTTACGGGTTTGAAATGACATGAGGGGGGAGTAATTAATGACAGAATTTTTGGGTGAACTAACCCTTTAACACAAAAACAAAACAGCAAGATTTATTTGACATCAAAACAAAAATGTCCTAAATGCTCTCGCAGTACTTTGATGTCATACACAGAATGGTCTGTGCAGTGCTGCTTCAAGTCAGACACCTACTTCATCGGTAATACAGCGAGACTCAGTCTTTTATGATTGACCAGCATCATATGAATTATTAATGGGGTCAAAAATCAGCTGTATATGAATTCAACCTATTTAAGACAGAACTAAAATATTTTGATTTATTGTGTGCATTCCATATTAAAGTTCAGTCCCAATATTTTGGTGTCTGTTTTGTTATTTTTTCATGTTCACATGTTTTTTTTGCTTCTATCACAATGTGAAAGGAAACATATGCCTTTACACAGTCTTTGCCATAGTTTTCCAAGCATTCACTGCATTTTTCCATTTAGCGATCATGTGTAAACTGTTTCATGTGTTGAATGCTGGCACATTTACAGTAATATGTATGTATACTGAAACGGATAGAGCTCACGCATAGTATGTAACAACTGAAGTTTTACTACACATTCAAGTGTCATACAAACTTTGAATTGTTCTAAACCCAGCAACACAACTGTAGCTGTATAGCTTTACAACAGCAACTTTGCTCTTGCATATCAGCTACAAAGCTGCTGAGCAAGAAAGAGTGCAATGATCTCTTGGGCAAGAACGTTCTAATCATTTTATTCATGTAGTTGTTTCAGAATGTTGCCTTGCAGCTTCCTATCATGAGTTTCTCCTCTTCTTTTTTCACATTTTCTTCTTTTTCTCTCAAACACTCCCTCCTCATCTGCAACTCTTGAAAACAACACATAAGACAGAGCTCAAAAACACTACACTTATTTAAACCGGGACAGCTAAAATGTAGTTAGTAGTCATTTTTTACAACCACCTCTTTCCACAAATCGCATCGCTCTTGGTGAGCTTGATGTCACTATTATACACAATATATTATACACCATTATACACAATATATGGTTGGTTTATCTGTGTTCTTCAAGCCATCTTGGGTTTAAGTTATATTCATAATGCAATACTAATCGACATAGCATTTATCATGGTAAAACTATAAAATATATTTTTGCCTCATTTTATAATAAGAAGCCACATCAGATCACAGAAAGAAGTTATTTAAAAACATGTTTAACGTTGTAAAGTGAGCTTGGAGTGAAAACACTGTTTTAATCCAAAAAACTGTCATGTTTTGATGCTATGCTAAGCTAACATGCTAGCTATCCCTATATGTACCTGTTGACAGGAGCGATTGTTTTATGACAAATTTTGAGAAGTAAATCCAAGATCAGTGAAATCGTTCTTTTTTTTAAAGAAGGGCTTGTGAATAGAAAGTTGTTAGCAAATATAATAAAGACAAAAGAATAATACTTTGTCATATATCCTAGCCAGATAGATATTAATGTGTAGAGGGGAGATGAACATGAATGGGGCAGTACAGGACAGTAAAGACTGAATGGGTGATTAGAATATGTGAGTAAATATTAGTTAGCATTTTAGAGCCTCTTCTAAACATAATCGCATGGCATGGAGTTTTAGAGATATAATTCTCAGCTTTTAAATAGAACATGGTCAAACATGTGGCTACACTGGGTTTCCGAGCATTGGGTTTTTGAGTACGTCACCTGGGTTCAGTGGCTTCACTGGTTATCTATAATAATCACAAATGATTTATTATGTATGAAACCTGTGCAAAAAGTGTTTAGCAGTGGAAAAAGAGCCCAAGAAATACTTGATCAGCAGAATTTCTTATTAAGCTTATAAGAAAATTATGGTTTCACTTACAAATTGGTTGATCATTTCTTTAAATCGAGTTCTAACACATTAAAAGGCAATTATTTTGACAAGCTGTTAAACATAAAGACTGTGTAGCAACAGAGAATAAAAACGAGGAAATAACCCTGTATAATACATCTAAAAAATTCCTGTTTGATACACCTATGATTGTTCGTGTCATTTCATACAGATGCTTGACAGTTAATTATCTAAATTAATAACTTAATCATCCCTGCGCCCAAGAAGTCAACAATAACCTACTTTAATGACTACAACCATGTAGCACTCTGACCTATCATCATGAAGTGCTTTGAGAGCTTGTCATGACCAGCATCAATGCCACTGTCCCACCCATACCAGACCCCTTACAGTTTACTTACACGCCATCCTCAGGCACACTTTATAATGTGATCTTGATTTGCTTACTAACAGATCACAGATGCTAGGATCTATGATCATACTCCCTCTAACATCTGGCTCAGGAGCATCTGTGCAAGGACCACAACAATCAACTTAAAGCACTAATAAGAGGACTGCCTGACCCCAATACCACCGCAATTAGTGAATGAATAACAATAATTGGCTAAGCTCTAATTTCTCAGTGCCAGTAAGTATTTTTTAGAACTGAGAAAAAATAAATAAAAAAATTACATTTACATTTAGCAGACACTTTTATCCAAAGTGACTTACAAATGAGGACAATAGTGCAGTGGCAAGTCCTGATTAGTCTAACACAGTACACGTAGCAAGTATAAATAAAAAGAAAACGAAAGATTTAATAGAAAATGAATAGAGAATGCTAGTGTTATAGGACCATTCAAATGTAATTTATTTTATTTTGAAAGTTCTACAATAAAAAATTAATCTATAAATAAAGATTAACTGTAGTTCACATAAATGTCACAAATTTTGATAGACACGGACATTGTATGCATTTTGCATCAAGCAGTGGAAAATCACTTAAAGTTGAATTCAATGCAGTTGATAACTAAAAAATTCTGAAGAAATGTACAGTTCGATGGAGGAGATGCAGGAGTTTTACAGCACATTTTGTTTTGTCTATGTTTTGTTGTACTATATGTCTCAAATATTTTTATTTTTATCTAAACATTACACTTAATGTCAAGTACAGACAGTCTTCTGACTGTAGTTTTAACCTACTTCATAGGGAGGGTTATAGTAAATTATAATCTTTATTTTTAATCTTAATGTACTATTACTATAACCAGAACATAATTGACTAAATGAACGACACCTTGT